CTGAACAAGGTCCCGCCCTTTCTGGGCACCTCAGGTCTCTTCATCTCAGTTCTCTTCCCTCCGTTCACTCATGTGGCCCCTCCAATGCCACCTAGTAGGAATAGTGCCCTGCTCCTCCCACACACAGACACAACAGGTTTAGAGGGGACACACCAGCACGATGCCCCCACCCACACCATCCATCACTGGGACTACCACACTCTCCTCAAGTTCCCTGAATGTCAGGAGAACCGAGGCTGCATGGTGGGCAGGGGAACGAGAAGCTAAGAAAAAAGGATGAAAGCAGCAGAGACTTCAGAGCCTGCTCCACAGACATGAAGGCTCGAGGCACCTTCACTGGGGCCTGGGAAATGGCCCAACCTTTACTTCAGGCCTCATCAGCACTCCAGGCCATTGGCCTCAGCCCACACTGTGCCACCAAAAGGACCCAGGATGGATTTGGAAGAGGCCACCAAGAGGCAGGTGGACAACAAGAACCAGGTGCCATAAAACCATCAAGCAATCACTCAATCACTTCCTCATTTGTAAGTCAGTGTTCATTTGACCCCTAATCCCTGTCTGTGTCATTTGGTCTTGTTCATCTACTCCCTCAATATGTATTTAAAGAACTGCTACTGTATGTCAGACATTGTGTTAATGGAATGACACAGGGTCAAGATCCTTTCTAGTCACCTCAGAAGTCCATGGCCTCTTCTCTTCATGGCATTTGTGTGCAAAATATAGGTGCTAATATGGCAATGAAGTCAAAACTAGAGGTTAGGGTAGAGCTATGTCTAAGTAACTGGAATCAGGCGCAGTAATAAGGGTGATCAAGATTACCTGGAAGTTTCCTTCTGAATCTTTTCAAGTCTTTACTTCAAAACTAAATTATTTTCCCTCATTCTAGACAAATTAAACATGCCCTCTGAACTTCACTGTGCACTTGGTTTAACTGTGTATTTCAACAGGACTGTCCCCACTGACTTTCAATGCACAGTGCCTGCTAGCCTCATTCTAGATTTTTTTAAAGTTTCTGTAGTTTGACATGATAACCTTAATGCCACCATTATTTTTTAAAGTAGCGGAGGAGGGCCCCATGAGTGCACTCGGGCATCATGACCAGGCTTCAGCCCTGCCCTCCTCTCACTGGGGGCTCTAGGTGAGTCTGTGGTCCACCCTGTCCATCTTCCCAATCTGAGTGGGCTCTGACAAAAGCAAAAGGTTTTCAAACTCTATCAAAAGTCTAACTTTAAAAAACAAACAAACAAACAAACAAAAACACGATGTTTGTTATGGATTCAATGTTTGAGTCCTCCTAAAATTTATATGTTGAAGCCCTAATTCCAACATGACTACATTTGGTGATAAGGCCTTTACAGAAGGGATTAAAATTAAATAAGGTCATAAGGATGGAGGCCTGATCTGACAGGATTAGTTTCTTTGTAAGAAGAGATACTAGAGAGTTCTCCCTCCACTCATATGAACTGAAGTAAGCCATGTGAGGACAGGGAGAATGCAGCCATCTGCAAGCCAAGGAGAGAACTCTCACCAGACACCAACTCTGTTATCACCTTGATCTTAGACTTCTACCTCCAGAACTATGACACAATACATTTCTGTTGCTTAAGACACTGAGCCAGTGGCATTTTGCCCTGACAGACCTAGCCAACTAGTACAATGTTACACCAAAGCTCATTGTTTAAAACAGCTGACCGTGGACAGGATGAAGAGCCTGGCCGGTGCCACTGCCCACCTCAGAGTACTCAGTGCCACTTCTGCAGAACCCCAGGATTGTACAAAGCCCAATTTAAAAGGCACAAAATGTGTTTTCTAAGATTTCCTCCCTATCTAGGATCTATTGATTTCAGAGTTTATTTAAGATCTTTAGCAAAGAAATATAAGGACAGTAGAATAATACTCTCATCCCATCCCACCTTCTTGTTTGGAAAGATGACTCTGCCTATTGACAAATGGACTTAAAGTCACAAATAAAGTAGCAAGTTGTGTCTGAGATAAAAGAATAGACAATCCTTCTCTTCCTCCTCAAAGTCCCCACTGGGACAATTTTCCTAGGGAGAAGAAAGACTATGTGCCTGATTGATTAGCAAAAAAAGGAAATATAAATTAATTATAGCCTAAACTATATCTATATTCTTTCTTAAAAGCAAGGATATTTTGCAAATTTTCCACATAGATAAATAAATTCAACGTCAAGGTAGAATTTATTTGTCTTTCTCCTTACCATGAAATTGATGGGATTCTTCTGTTTTCCCTGTCAGAGATACTCCTAGTTCAATTCTCACAAATACAAGCTCACTCTCTCTCCTACCAAACTTCCTCCCATCTTATACTCCCTATATCAGTAAATATCATCACCGTGTTTCCTGTCACATAAGCTAAATAAAGAGCGGGGA